GAGACTCCCCGTCTCAAAAAATAAAAACAGGATCAGAGTGGTGGCGAGATGGGAGTGGGTCTAGTTGGGTTCTTGAGGTGTTCTGAATGCACGGCTGATAGGATTTGCTGAAGCATTGGATGTGGGAATAAGAGAGGAGTCAGTGGTTTCAGAGTCTGACCCACGCACCGGGAAGGATGGAGCTGCTTTAACTGAGAGTTCTGATGATAGGAAGAGATGGGGCATAGGGGATCAGATACCCATTCTGAACTCAGTAGGTGATGGGTTAAGATGCCCAGCAGTACAGGGAAGTCATCTGCAGTGTCACACCCATCCTCCATGAAGCATCACCTCTAGGCTGGTCTGAATGGCAGTGGGATGTCAGAACCTACTAACCTTAGTGTCACTGTAGTTGGCATACAACCCGCCCCCCACTGCTAAATTTGACTAGCTTTTTTAAAAGTGAAAAAAATTATTTTTTGAGACAGCCTGGCACTCCAGGCTAGAATGCAGTGGCATGATCTTGGCTCACTGAAACCTCCAGCTCCCGGGTTCAAGCGATACTCTCTGCTCAGCCTCCCGAGTAGTTGGGACTACAGGGGCAGGCCACCACGTTCAGCTAATTTTAAAATTTTTTTTGGAGGGATGGGGTCTCACTGTGTTGCCCAGGCTGGTCTCCATCTCTTGGGCTCAAGTGATCCTGCTGCCTTGGCCTCCCAAAGTCCTGGGATTACAGGCATGAGCCACTGTGCCCCGCCAAAAAAAATGTTTTAACTCGCCTCGTGGCAGAAGTTAGGGGAAGAAAGTTTAGTTCTTACTGTTTCTAATGTACACATATTAGCAGCCACCTTTTTAATAGTAATTTAAGACTTCAAGTTCTCCCTTCACCAACAGGGTTGCCCGGGAAGGGGCTCTGGGTCCTTAACGAGCCTGTAATTTTCCTGTGCAGAAACTGGGGTATGGGGGTCCCAAGCCTCAGGCCATGACTTCTCCTTTCTCTTGTCCCTGGTGAGTTCTTACGAAGGCCACGTCCTGTGTTAAAAATAGTGGTGTGTAGTAGTATTTTTCAGAGCAAAACATTGCCCAGGGGTCTTCCTTGAACGGGCTGGCGCCCTCCCACCCAACACTTCTCCCTTTCCCCTGGGGCTTTCCTTGGCGCTCCCCTCACCTGACGGTCACACGCTTGCCCGGTTTATCAGTTACCTATACGGCAGACACTGGCCGAGAACCCCTGTGTGTGAGACGCGGCTTGTGTCCGGTGGGACTGAACCTGAGGCCTGCCACGTGTCGGGCGTTCAGTCCGGGTCCGCCTGAGACCTGAGGCCCCTTAAGGAATGAATGAATATACTGCTGGTCATTCATTTATTTCGCCCCTACTCCAGAGCGCCTGCTGTGCCGGGGGTGGGGGTGAGGGGAGCGCAGGGACCCGTGCGAGGCCCAGGAGACTGAGGCCCCG